CGGGAACAGCCACTGCACTCCAGTCTGGGTGACAGATTGAGACTCCAGCTCAAAAAAAAAAAAAAGAAAGGAAAAATGAAAAAAAGAAGAAAGCTCAGGAGGGAGTCCAGTTACCAGGAAGCCCAAGCATGTGGTCGGAGGGTTGGGGCTTTGAGCTGCGTGCTGTCAGCCTGACCTCCAGGGTAGGGCAGTGGGGGCAGGGAGAAAAGGGGAAGGTTGCAGATGGAGTTCAATAATGCATACATAATGAGACCCCAATGAAAATGCTAGACATTGAAGGTTGAGGTGGAAGGATCGCCTGAGCCAAGCAGGCCAAGGATGTGGTGGCCGTGAGCATGCCACTGCACTCCAGCCTGGGTGACAGAGTGCGATTCCAACTCAAAAAAAAAAAAAAAAGAGAGAAAGAAAATGTTAGACACGAATGCTCTGTGTCGCATCCCTGCTGGTGAGCATATCACTGTTCAGGGAGGAGATGCACTTTGAATCTGCCAGTGGGACAGAGTTCTGTATGTGGGAACCCCAGACCTTGTCCTGTGTGGTTCTTCACTGGGCAGGTCTTGCCTTGCAACCTTTCTTAATTTTTTGAGTTGGAGTCTCTCACCCTGTTGCCTAGGCTGGAGTGCAGTGGCCTGCTCACGGCCACTGCAGCGTTGACCTACTAGGCTCAGGTGATCCTTCCACCTCAGCCTTCCAAGTAACTGGAACTACAGGCATGTGCCACCGTGACCAGCTAATTTTTTATTATTTATTGTAGAAATGAGGTCTCGTCAAGTTGCCCAGGCTGGTCTTGAACCCGTGGGCTCAGGCAATCCTCTCACCTCAGCCTCCCAAAGTGCTGGGATTATAGGCATGAAGCCACCGCACCCGGCTGCCTTGCACCCTTTATAATAAAACTGTCCTTGGAAATGCAAGTTGTGGGAGTCATTCTAGTGAATTACAGAACCTGAAGGGGTTGTAAGAAGGCACGAATTTGTAGCCAGTTGGTCAAAAGTGCAGGTGGCCTGAGGACCCCCAAAGTGTGACTGGCACCTGAAGCGAGGGCAGCCTTATTGGAGACTGTGTCCTTAAGCTTATGGGGGCTGTGCTAACTCTGGTTGGTGTTGGAATGGACTGCAGGACGCCAGGTGGCGTTAGACCAATACTGAATAAAAATCATGGATGAGCAGAACACACAGCTCATCACAGCCCTGATCACACTGCACAGATGAGTCACCCTGACACTAGGGCTCTCGAGGGGAGGGCAGGTGATCTGAAGTCCCGCAACCTCAAGGTATCTGGGCCAGCACCCAACACTGACCATGGGCTCGGCAAAGGTTTGCTAATGAAGAAACACACCTGGAGGACAAAGGACCCCAGCGCATATCGGGGGGAAATGCCAGAGGATCCAGGCTGGGAACCTCAGGGGAGACCAGGAGAAATGACTGCTGAGGCTGTCACATCCACAAGAAGCTGGCCTGTTTCTGCAGAACTAGGGCAGTTGTGAGAAGCCACTGAGAACCAGATTCAGCTGGCTGAGGCAGGGCTGCTGTGCATGGCCA